GCCAAAAAATAAACAATAAAAAATCTCAATTAGTAAACAGAATCTGCAAAAATACCTCATCTCCAATTTACTGTCGACGAGCCAAACTAAAGGCCTGTGGACCAAATGTGGCCCGCCACAACATTTATGTGGCCCACGAAACTCAAAGATACAATGTCTTAAAATAAATGTGCTTTAAAGTCAGCACCGACAAAAAGCTACATCTCCCATAATACATGTTGATTATTTTACCCATGAAATGATGACATCCCACCACCAGGTGGAGCTGCACAGGACTCTAAAAAGGCTGGGCATGTCGCTGCATTTTCCCTGGCTGCTTCTGCTGTTTTGTGGTTGGACTGAGAAGTGGGAACTTCCCACTTACAAGTTGTAAATTTAAACTGAAACGCCCCTTCAGTGGGAATTCCCTGTCAGAAAGTGGGAGAGTTCAGAAATTAAAGACAGTAACTACTCACTACAACTCATCAGCAAGTAAAACTCTCTTAATTTTACTTTATTAGTATTTATATTATTATTCTTATTTCTTCTTATTATCTATTATTCATGTTTAATCAAAGTTAAACACAAATCGTTGACGTTAATTACAACTGGCCCTTTGAGGACCACCATGATGCTCATGTGGCCCTCAGTGAAAGTTACAGCATCAAATCTCTTCAGGTTTGTCTCCATGAGCTCGTTGCAGCTACTCAGAGTAGTAAAATAACTAAGTACAAACACTTTGTTACAGTACTTAAGTAAAATCTTTGGGTATCTGTACTTTACTTGAGTATTTATTTTTCAGCCTGCTTTTAACTTCTACTTCTTCCATTTTTAAAAAAGGCAAGAAGCAGAAAGTCGTTTCTTTTATTTTAATTTGTTTTGTTTTTTTTGGCTTGTTTTCATTCCAGCTTGTTATTGTAAAAAATAATTACTATCCATTTAAATTATGTCTCTTATTGAATATTACTCTTAGTGAATTTAATTGTGGTTGAATGAGAAGTATAAATATATAAAAATCTGATACCGTATTAGTTTGTAGACAAATAAATCATGTCACACTCCAGCAGGACACAATCATTAAAACAAAAGTACTGTACTTAAGAAGTATTTGTTTTTCATGAATTATAATATTGCATTTGGCCACAGCCCTCAGATAGATTTTCATTTTGGAGAAAAAGTTTGGTCACTCTCGATATTTGTATATAAACTGAAACAGCTGGACTAGTGCATCCTAAATTTATCATTAATTAATTAATTTAACACAATACAGTCATTTCTGCATTTTTGTGGAGGTCACCTCCTAATAAATGTCCTTACAGAAAATCTAACTGCTGATTTTAAATCAATACTTTTACTTTTACAAAAATATATTAGATTCTTTAAGACTTTTACTCAAGTAATATTTTAACTTTTACCAAAGTAATTTTCTGGCATTATACTTGTATTTTTACTCAAGTATCACTTTGCGGTACTTTATACAACACTGCAGCTACTCTCTAGCTTTTGTTCATTCTTTTTGACCAAACCTTACGGCTTCAAAGCAAACAAGGGGAATACATATGCAGGAACAGCTTTACATTTTTATTTTTAGAATGAGTTTAAACAAATCTTTGCCACATTTAACTTCAGTCTTTTCAAAGTATTCTGTGTAGGTTCATAATTTATAATTAAACTGAAAAGCTGTTTAATTTTCAGTTTGCAAGGCAACAAAACAGAAAGAATACTAAGTGAAAGCCTTTGCAACTCACTGTAACTTACCTGATAGTTCCAGCGAGGAGAGGGTTAAATGCATACAACCAGTCATGCATTTCTTTGTCATTAGCTGCTTGCAGCAGAATTCCACGGTGCTCTGTGCACACGGCGAAGGTGTTTGGGGTCTGTTAAAACGAGTCACACGAAGCATTAATTACAGGCCAACAGAAAACTGTATGTAAGACTTTGGTGGATGCCTGACCTTCAGCATGGCCTGCTGGTCCTCGCTGTACTCCACCTGAGCAGAGGAGAGGTTGAGGATGGCTCGCTCCACCGCATCTCTTTCTGAGTTGTAGATGTAAACGTACGGCCGACGCACAACCACAAAACGTTTCACCCATCCGTTGGTGTTTGGCTCCAGGAAATGCAGGTAACCCTTCTTTGACACGATGGGGCTGAAAAACACAACTACCGTATTTATGCGTGTATAATACGATCTCATGTAAAAGCATAAAAAATTGAACCCTCAAACTACCTCCAATTTCATACAGACTTCAAGATTTTTCAGCCTTTGCAGTCTTTATACATATCAGTAAAATGATCATTGGACTGTTCATTTTATTTTAACAACATATGTACTAAAAGGTATTTTGACAACAAATATATATCAGCTGTAGCAGCATCAAATGAATTCTGGTATTTTACACATAGACCACCAGGATGCTCCAACATAAAAGTCAGAGACGTCACGAGATTTGGACCATCTTCTGGGGCAAAAGCAGATTATTTCCTACTCGCGAGCACCCCCTCTGGTGGGGAGATGTTTTTTGAGGGATACAAACTTTTTCAGAACACCGGTAGACGGCAGCCATTACAGACGAACATGTGTTTGTTGTTGTTCGAGGAGCAGCTCGGTCACACGCTGTCATTAGTTTGTTATCATTACTAAGGTGCAGGACTACTTCCCCCACTTTTTATTCACATCATGTCACCTGCCTGGATCTGTTATTATCTCGCTCTGAAGCACGGAGGAGTGTTAGAGGTAAGCTCGTTTCAACTGCTTTTTACGTCGTGGTCTCATTTCTGGACTCAGGCATTTTGTGAATGAAGCCGATTTCTCAGTTAAAATACATAAGTAAAAATATTTATCCGAGTACCCCCCAACTTTATGGATGATTTTATGGATGAAATTTTACGTATTATACTTGAATAAATACGGTAAATGTTACAACTAAAGAAAGCGGCACAGTGTGATTAAACTGTGATGATAGCTTCAGACAGACCTGACTCTTATCTCCTGGATGTCAGGGACCAGTTTGCGAGCTCGAGGCTTGGTGTCGGACGCTCCACTGATGGGTTTGTTGTCCTTCAAGTCCTGCTGTGTTTCAGGACCGGGGCTGACGGCGCGGGAGCGGGGTGTGGGTGGTCTGTATTACACAGAAACAGAACGTGAGCTCCATCCCTGCACGTCAGTTTATTATAAGAAAGAAACAAACTGCAGTGCGGTAAAATAACGCAAAGATGCTGCTAGCAAATATGGCAACAAATAAGCCAAGAGTCTGACCTGAGCTCAGCAGAACTGTAGCAACCCTCAACCAGTGAAGGGCATGTAGAGGAGGGTGTGATTGTGTTCAGAGCTGTTATGGAGGTAGAGTCTCTGAGCAATGTGACAGACATCTGTGAGATCTGCAACAAACACAGATACAAGCTGCATCCCTGGCAGAACCAATCAACAAACAGCAATGGCATTTTCCTCAAACGTGTCAACAGATCCCTTCAAACCCGTACCTTGCTCTCACTGGCGCTGACGCAAACATGGCTGTATTCTCTGTTGAAAGAGTGAGTGAGCAGCCGCAAGCACTGAGAAAACAAAACCAATCAATATGATATCTGATTTGCTGCATTTCTGCCTTTTCTTTTTGGTTTCAAACCAGGGTTCGACAAATCCTATTGCCCGACTGCCCGGGGCAGGTAAAACCCATTGTCGGGCAGAAGGGTGTGTCCCAATGCCTGCCCGACCGGGCAGGTAAACAATTTCTTTTATTTTTTATAGGGCCATTTATTCAAAATATTCTGAAAATAAATGAAGAAATTTCGCTATTTAAAACACGTAAAGAGAGAATAAATTGTCAAAATTTCCCCTCCCGCTGTAGAAAAGTTACATCTTGCGGTCGTGTCATAGGATCATTTCCTCCCTCCTTCCTGCTGCACGTCACGCAGAGAGAAGTTAACAACCGTAGCTTTTTTCACACCCGTGTTTTCGGAGGAAAAAATGTTTTTTTATGAATTGTTACCCGCAGAGATGAAAAAAAAAAGTGGACGTTCATTCAGTCATAAATCCATCTTGCTAATTTTGGCTTCTGCTCTGATGAAGATGATGAAGAAGATGAGAGCGCAGCAGCGGGTCAGAAGCTCATTTTATGGCAGGCCGATCTATCATTTATTTGGCTTCACCAAACTTATATTCTAGTTATCTGAAATTGTTTTATGACTAAATTAGACATATTAGTTATTTAGGATAAAATAATAAAATGTTTTCTTTTATTATTTTATTTTATTTACTTTTTTTTAATTTGGAGAACTTTCCAGCTTGAGATTGTTTGTTTGTTGAAGTTGATTTTTGAAAATAAGGGGCAAATATGATAGTTTTTTTACTTCTCTCTGCACCCTTTTACTTCAGGGTATGATTTACTTTGGTTTTTTTAATGCTGTACATAGATGGTTTTGTTTTTATGAATGAAAGAAAAAAACAAATAGACATCTCTTAATATATTTTGACAATTCAAAATACCTATTTAAGATATCTCTGATTATATTCTGACTTGCATAAATAACATTAGATTTATCATCATGTTGTATGGAGACTCCAGTTCAAGATATCTTAAATGTATCTTTGGATATAAGATTTATTAATGCAAATTTCAGACTTTTTCATGTTCTGTAAATTGTATTTAAAACAAAGCTGCTGCTGTTGATCACTCTGTTTTCATAAAATCCAGCCCCAAGGCCAATACTCTAGGGAAACACTTTTTTGAAGATGTTCTTGATAATACAATTGACTGTTAGTAACTCAGTCTACAATGTTTGCATCTGTTTAATCAGATGTCATATATTATACACCTCTGTATAACCATGTTAATATTTTTGTAGTACAAAGTACAGTACACGTTTTTCTTATTTTATCGAAATTTGAACATTTTTGTTTCGGGCAGGTAACTTTTCATGTCGGGCAGGTAAAAAATTAAAATCTTGTCGAACCCTGCTTCAAACCCTTGATCAAAGCTGAACAGACAGTATTTCCAAACCATGGCTGACCTTGACAGCGAGCTCCTTCTGCCTCTCGGTGGTGATCTCAGAGCTGGAGCTGGCCTCCTGATCGGTCTCAGGGGGCTGATGAGGCTCATTCAGCTCCTCGGGAACACCGGACTGAAGGGACTCCAGGCCTGACAGCAAGGTGGACTCTAGCTTCTCCCTCAGCAGAAGGTAATGTTTGGTCTTCTCCACCTGAACGAATTAGGAGAAAATATCACAGTTACTGAGCAGACTGTCGGCTGCAGCAATATCAGAAGGAAATGAGGACAGAAGAACTTATTTCTAGCAGCAGAGCGGGTTGGTAGTGGATTATGTTATTGGTGTTTTTTTAACGTCCTACAGGTAAAATAAATTTGAAACTGAGTTTTTGAAAAAATCCGTGAAACATGAAAAAATCCGGAGATTGCTCTATACGTCCGTATACCTGCATAATGATGGATAATTTGTGTAAATTATGGACAATCCATACAAATTAACCTGTATGGCTCTAAATTCCAGGTACTTCAGCCAATCTGCAGTATTTTACATTTCAGAAAATAAATGTGTAAATACAAATTTATTTAGAAATGTAAATCAGTACAAAACTACATCTAAACACTACATGTTTTATACATATTTTATATGTTTCGTATTTCTTATGTCATCATGTTTTCAATGGTTAGGTCAAATGGGCTATCACATTGTTTGATAATATATTTGTGGCAGCTTTTAGATTTATGAATTACATTTATAATTAATTATAAAAAATATGGTCACCCAGCAAAGTAACAATAGCCTATTTCTTGTGTTACAATGCAGTGGATCAGATGAAGCTACAGCCTGTGTTACTCACAGGGCTTCTTTCACTTGGGGGGGTGGGGGGCGTAATTATGCAAAATCTACTTTATATCAGATAAAGTCATTCCCTCATCAAAACACAACCAGAGTGTTGCTTTGACTCATTCATGCATGTTTGATAAATCCTTAAATCTCCTGTGGTAGAAATGTGGTAGAAACACTTTCTGGTACAAAGCTCCACCTATTTGTACCTGGCTCCTCCCTGGAGCTCAGTCAGCAGCCGAGCTCCTGCCCCACATAGCACCCCTCTTCTGAAGCATTGTTGTGAAGATGTGTTGAAATGGGAGTGTTGGAAATGGTAGGAGGTTCTTAAAGAGACAGAGGCCAATTTCAAGGCATTTAGAGAGGCCATGATGCAAAGTCAAATTTATTTTTGATATTTACAGCATTTTTATAACAACGGAAGTAGGGCTGGGCGGTATGACCTCAAATTCATATATAAATGAAATCCCTTCACAGTAACGGTATACAGTATATTGCTGTAGAAAATTATCATAAAAAGTAAAGATAATGTAATTTTTACAGCATTTATTTTTGCAGAAAACTGTAATCATAAACAAACCCAGCATTCTTGCTTTAATATCTGCCTGCTATAAAATGAGCTTCTGCCTGCTGAACTTATCAGCAGCTGCTCTGCTGCGCGCGCATCTTCATCATCTTCATCATCAGAGCAGAAGCCGCCTTTATAAGATGGATTCATGACTGAACGAACGTCTACATCTTTTTTTATCATCTCTGTGGGCAACAATACATAAAAAAAAATTTCTCCGACAATTGGCTGTGAAAAACTTTGGTTGTTAAAGCTTCGCTCTGCATGATGTGCAGCGAAAGGGAGGGAGAGATTATCGTTGATGTAACTTTTCTACAGCGGGAGGGGGAAATTTTGAGGATTTATTCTTTCTATACACGTTTTAAAATGCTATAATTTCTTCATTATATTTTGAACTCCTGCTCAGTTGTCTCTGCACTCGCAGCCCTGTTCACACAGGTGCAATGACGTAACTGACGACAGGACGGTGGAGGGTAAGTTTTTACCGTAGGCCAACTTCATACCGTTTCTACCGTCTACCGCATATAACGCGCAGCCCTAAACTGAAGGTAACATAGTTAGTTGATTGTGGTATAGAATATGTGCCTGGAAAATACATAATACCCCTCTTTAAGGAGGTAGCGAGAGTACACCAGTCACTTCAATGTCCTCTGTGTTTCATATGGTCATGCATGTGGTCACTTCAGTACCATCCCTAGGGGGCCTCCTTCAGTTCGAGGCCCTAGGCAAATGCCTACCTTGCCTACTGTATTGTGACAGCTCTGAATAAAAACGTATCCTAAGCAATAAAATACTGCAGATTAGTGTACTTTCCATTGCATGTTCAGTTTCTGTAAATCTACAGCTTCATTTACAAATTTTAGAATTTCAGTTTAATTCAGTTCATTTATTTATATAGTACCATGACCCAACATACGTCGCCTCATAGTACTGTACACAAAAATCAATGTAAGGAGGCCAGCAGATTCCATTGAATTACTTCATCCCTGTCTCCCATCCTGAGCCATTAGTGACAGTGGGAAGGAAATTTATTTTAATTTTTTTATTTAAGTTTTCTTTCATTAACTCTCATGTTAAGACAAATTCAGACAACCAGAAAATAAATGAAAAGAACTGTAGTAAAGTGACTTACATCTTGGAGGAGACTGAGCTTCTCCAGCTCCCACTGGTGCTCTATAATGAGGCTGTCGCTGCGCGGCCTCCATCCAGCCAGGTTCTCCTCTCCTCGGACGTAGGCCACAGAGGTGTCCAGCACCCGCCTGCGTCTCCTCTGCATTCCTGAGGAGATACAGAAGCTCTCATTAGAAATACTTTAGAAGTGAGCCTAATACAAAAACACAATGGAAGCAAATCTGGGCTCTTACCTGGGCTTCCTGCATCGGCCTGGTGGCACAAGCTGGCCTCATAAACTCCAGTTACACGATTTCTGGAGGAAGTAAATAATCAACCAACTTTATTTTTAACAAAGAAAATACAACAGCTTCCGGGTATTTTTGTAGTGAGAGACCTTAACCTCACCCATCTGCCGCTCTCAGACTTCCTGTACCAAAAAGGTTGCGAATCGATCGAGAAGCTGACAGCTTTGTGTCTCGAGTGTAAAACACCATGCAGATATCTTTGGTTATAACTGCAGGCTGTGTGCAGTTCTCCATCTGTATTTGAGGAAAAAAAAGAGGAAGGACTTCAAACATTATTTTATATCTCCTTTGAGTTACTTCAGCTTCCTCTGAACGCAGACACTGTTGTGTACCTCCAGGTAGGCAGAGAGGGTCATGTAGATTTTCTCCCCGTTTGGAGTGACTCGGTTTAGCAGCAGAGAGTTGTGCATTGAACTGTCCCACGCTGCCTCGAACCGGTAAAAAGTCCTGTGACGGTCCAAGAGACACAAAGCTCACTGATCGCATCAGGGCAAAAATTGAATTTTTAAATTGTAAAAATAAAAACAAAAACAAGCTGCCTCTTAACTCATGCTAATTTCTGCTCAAATGAACATAAAATTTATGTAAAAGAAAAAGCATTTCATATGGGAAAAATTGCTACAATTTGATTAAAAGAACTGAGAACAAAACATGATTTGCAATCAATTCATTCATTATAATACAATATTTAGACACTGTAGACAGCATGTTGAGTTAAAAAAATAAAACTGTTGTTTTCCATGCAGCAGGCTGACATGATGCTCTGCTTTGTAGAAAACATCACAGAAAAGCAAAAGAGAGCAATGAGGACTGATAGTACAGAAAAAAAGGAGAGGATGGATGAGAGAAAATGAGAGACAGGGCAGTGAAATACCTATGATCAACTCCCAGGGAAATACTGTGTGAAAGAAGAAACCAGCAAAAAGAATAGAAAGAGTGAGTCAGGAAGTCTGTTGTGGCTGTGCACGTATATGGCTGGGGTTGTGTTTGTTTTCTTTCTAACATCTGATTATGTAAAAATAATAATAAAATCTTTGAGTAAAGCTCACAAACTGCATGAAAGGTCCTGATTTGTCGACTTGCGTTATTAATGGGATCTTTGACTAATGTCACATGTTGGTCTTAATGTCATTTTTTCTGTTCTACCAAACATTGTGACATGTGAAAACTCCTAATTACCTTAAACTTTTTTTGTTTGTTTATGACATTTTTCACTTAAGCATGTCACCATTTTATTACTGATGCACTAAATTCTGGGGGGGATCGGCTGCAGTTGAGACTGAAAAACTGAGTCAAGGCTAAAGAGCTGTTATGTTACAATAAAGTTATATTATGTATTAGTTTCTTTCCATCAATCAATAACACCCTATGCTACATATATTAGCTCTCTGGGTTTAACCCCTTTAATTACAATACATACATTAGCTCTTGAGCAATCGCCATATTAGCTTAGGAGCTAACACTAATTGTATCAGCTGTGATCAGTTCAAGGGTTGCAGCCCACGTAGGGCGCATTTGTAGGCTGGTTCCTTCACTGCACCGCGCCATAGGCTGTCCCATTTTGTGGACTTCTACTCATGCGGCCCACAAAACCCTGAAAACGTAGTCTGCATCTGAGTATCCTACACAGCTGATGGTATCCCAGGATTCATTGTGCCATCAGCAAACTAAACAGGAAAACGAAGATGGTGGAGTTTGGAAATTCATCACGGACCGAAGAATTTATTTTTAAATGTAAGTTAAAAAACTTAGCTGATGCTGCAATGAGATGATGAGAGAGCTGAGCCAGAAGGTGAAGCTCTCGATTTACCCGTCGGTCTACCTTCCTACCCTCATCTATGGTCACGAGCTTTGGGTAGTGACCGAAAGAACAAGATCACAGATACAAGCGGCCAGAATGAGTTTCCTCCGCAGGGTGTCTGGGCTCTCCCTTAGAGATAGGGTGAGAAGCTCAGTCATCCAGGAGGGACTCAGAGTAGAACCGCTGCTCCTCCATGTCGAGAGGAGCCAGTTGAGGTGGCTCGGGCATTTGGTTAGGATGTCTTTCTGGTGAGGTGTTCTGGGCACGTCCCACTGGGAGGAGACCCAGAGGAAGACCCAGGACACGATGGAGGGACTATGCTTCTCGGCTGGCCTGGGAACACCTTGGGATTCCCCCGGACGAACTGGTCCAAGTGGCTGAGGAGAGGGAAGTCTGGGTCTCTGCTTAGGCTGCTGCCCCCGAGACCCGACCCCGGATAAGAGGAAGAAAACGGACAAACGAGATGTTAAATAAAATGCAACTACGTGTCTGCTAGATCCCATTCTAACCAGACTGTTGAAAGAAGCATTTCCCTTAATTAATATCCATATTTTAGATGTACTTAATTTATCTTTAATGAATGGTTATGTGCCACAGAGCTTCAAGGTAGCTGTAGTTAAACCTTTACTTAAGAAACCTCATCTTGATTCAGGAGTTCTGGCCAACTACAGACCTATATCTAATCTCCCATTCATCTCAAAAATTCTTAAGAAAATAGTTGCAAATCAGCCATGTGAACATCTGGATAGAAATAATCTATATAAGGAGTTTCAGTCAGGGTTTAGAGCTCATCATAGCACAGAAACAGCACTGGTGAAAGTTACTAATGATATTCTCATGGCCTCAGACAGTGGACTTGTGTCCATTCTTGTCCTGTTAGATCTCAGTGCTGCATTTGATACTATTGATCACAATATTTTATTAAGTAGACTTGATATTGGGATTACAGGAACAGCTCTAAAATGATTTGAGTCTTATTTAACTGATGGATTTCCGTTTGTTAATGTTAATACTGAATCTTCTTCTTACACCAGAGTTAGTCATGGAGTTCCTCAGGGTTCAGTGCTTGGACCAATCCTCTTTACTTTATACATGCTTCCATTAGGTAAAGTTATTAATCAGCATGGGATAAATTTCCATTGTTATGCTGATGATACTCCGTTATATTTATCCATGAAACCTGATGAATCCAACCAGTTACTTAAACTACAAGCATGTCTTACAGACATAAAAACATGGATGACTCAATTTTCTGCTTCTAAACTCAGATAAGACAGAGATTATGGTTTTTGGACCTGAACATCTTAGGGATCAACTTTGCAGCCTTTTACCTTCTCTGGATGTCATTAATCTGGCCTTCAGTTCTAATGTAAAGAAACTTGGTGTTATTTTTGACACTGACACTCTGTCTACTTTTAAGATTAGACTGAAGACTTTCCTTTTGAATAAATCCTATAATTAGACCTAGGTTTCCTGAATTAATCTTCATTTCTGCTGCTATAGACTTAGACTGCTGGAGCACAAACTGAGCACATTTCCTCACTCTGCTGTTGTCTTTGGTCTCTCTTCTCTACATGTTTATTGTAATTATTTCTATCAATAACATGTTTTTTCCTTTGTCTCTTTTCCAGAAGAAGGTGCACCCGGACCAGTCCTGGACCAGTTCTTCTGTGTTTGGCTGGGTCTCTTTCCTGTCACCCAACCAGCCGGTCGAGGCAGATGGCCGCCTGTCCTGAACCTGGTTCTGCTGGAGGTTTCTTCCTGATTAGCAGGGAGTTTTTCCTCTCCACCGTTTGCTCAGGATGGGAGACTGTGATGAAGGGATTCAACACAATCTGCTGGCTTCTTCTTTAGATTGTTCTTTTTTTTCACGTACAGTGCCCTGAGACAACGTATGTTGTGACTTGGCTCTATATAAATAAACTGAACTGAATTGAATTGAATACATGTTCTGATACTGGATCTAAATACAAACTCTTTAAAATATTACATGTAAATAAATTAAAAATATTAAGAACAGCTGCATTGAATTTGGGGATGTTATACCTTCAGTGAAAAGACGTGAAAACATGTTCCAATGCATCTTAAGTAAGCCATATAATGCAAAGTGTAACACTACAGTACAGGGGTAGTGCAGTCATGCAAACATACATCCTATGATACTAGAGTCTCCTTTCATAGTGATTTATGCCGCCTACACAGCCGTGAAGGCTATGGCCTCCATGGGTCACTGTCTAGGTAGGCTACAACCCCTGAGCTGAGACACAGCCATTAGCTTAGGAGCTAACGCTATATACATATTAGCATGGGAGCTAACGTGAATGCTAAAAGGCTAAAACTGAGCTTCTCCTTCCATGAAGCAGCTCCTCTCTGTCAACGCACTCTGGTTTAATTTAAAAGGGCTGATCATCAAATATTGTTCAAGATTAAATTTAACCTAAGTTGGACAGAGCTTGCAGCAGAGCAGCTTGTATACGTCATTTATCCAGAACACTTGACGATGTAAATAACATGGCGACATCCATGTGACAAAGTATTTTTTAAATTTATCACAACTAAACTTTATATAGTTTTTTACGGTCTTGTTTCTATAGTTGAAATAAATGTTTTTCCAAATAATGCCTAATGTTACAACTAGTCAGAGGTCCCTTTAAACTAAATACAACAGGTCCTACAGCACAACAGAGCTGCCTTGTGTTGCTCTCAGTACGATAATGTACGTTTTCCCTCAAGGAGAAATAGTCACACACTGAAAGCTGCTGTTATTCTGGCGGCCTCACATCTAAAAGGATTATCCAAGTAAGAACTGTAAAAGGAAACCAGTGTTTCTGTAAGTCATAAAAGCAGGCCAAAATGGGCTCTTCACCAGGTTCAGATGTTCGGCCCGCTGCTCCTGGACTCAAATGACCTTGTGGGAAAGCGAACAACAGCAAACAGCCACTCACTGTGCTGGAGTAACAACTGCACAGCGCGGGCGCCATCTATGAAGAAGGTGACGCTTCTTTTTTTAATCAACTAATTAGCAAGTTCATTAACACACATTCACACAAACATGGCAGAAAGCTGCTCGCTTCCACTACGAGGAGGCAATTTCCTCCTCACACCCTTCCATCACTCTGTGAGCTTCTCTGTGTTTTACTAGCTCTTAAAAATGTGGGAGCCAGCACTGAAGTCATGCTGCTGGCAGAACATGTGAGGAGCCGCTTGGTTCTGGCGTTTGGCAGAGTTTCACTGAGGTACGAGAAAGATTTAAAAATATTCACAACATACGTAGCAGCAGTTCAGGGTAAAGTGCTAACAGTGAGGTAATGGTTCAGTGGATTATATTATGAGAGCTGGGCTTAAATCTTCTGCCAAAGTGAGTATTGTTAGTGATGGGATCCATACAGCAGCACCTGAGTTAAAAAGACTGATGGATGGTTTTGTTATTATCCTGCAGCAGTGATAGGAAACACTGTGTTTGTACAAAGTCACTTTTATGAACTCAAAATAACACTTGACTCTCAAAGTAAAAAAATAAATAAATAAAGAAAAAGAAAAAATGTAGTGGAATATGTTTTTCATCTGTTGCTTTTGTGATTTCCAGCCAGTATTTATTAGTGGACTTATTTCGCCCCCTACTGGCAGATTTTAATGATGCATAATCTTTTGGAAAAAACAAACACACTTGCGCAGCTTTGCAGTTTATATAGGATTAAATCACTTTGGAAGAAATTGCAACCATTTTAATTTAATCCTTTTAGAATTTAGAAATCAAATAAATGATACAGTTTAGAAGTACAGCCTTAGACTGATGGTGAGTTTTCTAAATAAAAAAAAAACTGCATCAGCTGCTGAAGTGGAAACACAGAGTCTGATGCTGGCCCGTGACACCTCCAGCAGAGACGCAGCCAAGCGTGAAGCAAAGCCGAGCCATGCAGACCCTGTCCATCACACAGCCCAAACACACAACCAGTACCGCAAGAGATGTGGGCCGCATGCAAGACCGCGTCCCTCGCTTCTCATGAGGGGGAGGGGAAAAAAACTGATAAACAGCAAAAGTCATGACAGAGTAGGTGTAAAGGAGAACAAATAGGTTGTTGATTAGGGATGATAGAGAGTGAAGAAAGTTAGAAAATTGAAGTGTTTGTGTAACTTATCGTGAAAATAAAGGCAAATAATATACCTAGGCATGTCCGAATCAAGAAACTGTCTGCAGAGCAAAAAAATACAAAACAAAGCAATTCATCAACATTATGTTAGTGAGAAAATGTTAATTATTTAATGTTAGTTCCAGCATCTTAAACCTGCCTGGGTTCAGCTTTTAAAAGACATTTTTGACCATGTTTAACAGAACAGAACTTGGCTGCAGTTTATTGCAATAAAACGTTTATTTCACCAGGACTACTACTTAATGCAGAAAGGAGCTTCAGACAGAAACTCTAATTACACACAAGGACACCATGCAACTGATGTTAAACCTAAACAATAAGCAAAACAATAAGTAGCATGGCCCAATAAAGTCAATGATTTTGCATATAATGAACAATAATTACAGTTTTTTTAGTTTGAGTTTATTTCAAACATGTATACAAAATAAATAAATTATCTAACAAGATAACAACCTTTAAATAAACAGATCTGAAAAGAAATGGGAAGAAGTAAAAACATATTTTTCCACCCTTCTCCAAAATAATAAATTCCTTTTTCCTAATAACACAGTAATGATTTCAGTAAGACCAAACCAATAATTAGTTTACCTACTATCCTATATACATTATATACCAATTATAAAATAATATACAGTAATTTATATTTCACTTTTCTGACATTGCCTTTTTATACATAAATATTTTTTCTTCTACAATGCCTAATGTATGTCTCCTTTATTAACTTATTTCAGTGTTATTAGCAAAAAAGATTATTACTATTATTATTATTGCAAGCAAATGCATTTGCAAATATTTTCCTACATACTGGCTATTTAAAATTGTCTTGGCACATCACTAAATTCAAAGGACAGAATTTGGAATATTAAGTGTATCTGTAAAGCCTATAAAATTAAATAAAACTGATTACTTACGTAACAAAATTTAAAGAGACCTTTAGATAGTCAAATAAAAATAAAACCAATACAGAATTAATAACTGACCTTAAAGCTAACAGATTTTCTGCAGAATCTTTGGTATCAACAGGTAACATGTTGTTACCAAAAATTCTGCAACTAGAAACATTTAGAGAAATTTTGAGGGTAAGGGCCTGATCTACTAAATATTTGTAAAAACCTGTGCAAACTGAATTGCACACACAAAGCTAATCTACTAACTGTGTGTGCAAAGGATGGAGTCTGTCAAATGAGCAACATAGCATCTGCAGCCCAAACTGAAATGTGACAATTTAGCACCTGCAATGTGATTTATCAAACCTGAAACTGATTGCAGTTAATGTTTCTGCATCTAGTTTGTTAGCAAGACAGGTGCACAATTAGCCCTATTAAAAAAAACTACTAAAGACGGACATTCCACATTGTTAAGCAGACTACCATTTTCAACTAATATGGGCAAATAATAATATATCATCTCTGTGTGTCTCAGATTAATTTTAATGATCCAAAGAGACCTGAGACACAAAACCATCCATGAATTTATTTGAAAAACAAAAACATGTAGTCTTTATGACACTTAAATACAACTGGCATAATAATTTGGGATGTGGTGCATGTGACACTCAAAGACAGGATGGTTTTATTCTGTCTGTAATAAAACTGATGCTCTGCAACATCAAAGAGTACTTCTTTCATTTAACCATTAAAGAGATTTTTCACCCACTTAGTAATAAGATTCTGTCGAAACAATATATAAATTTAATATCTTACAGATATCTTTTGAATAAACAAAGTTATAAAATCTATGATGAAATGTAATTTGTTAGAAATACTTTGAACTTTGTTTTATATGCTGAAAGTCTCTGTCACATTTGAGCCAAATTTGAAGAAATCATGCAGAAACAAAATTTTGGGGGCTTCATTTACTGTAGTATTCAGAAAGGTACAGGCAAACCAAAAACATGCATGTTGGGTTGATTAGCAACTGAATTGTCCCTGGGTGTGAGAGAGTAACTAGTTGTCTCTATGTGGTCCTGTGATGGACTTGAGACCTGTCCAGGGTGTACCAGAAGGAAAATAACCTCGGACGGATGGATGGATGGATGGATGGATGGATGGATGGATGGATGGATGGATGGACAGATAGATGGTTGTATGGATGGACGGATGGATGGATGGATGGATGGATGGATGGATGGATGGATGGATGGATGGACAGACAAATGGATTGATGGGCTGTAGATGAATGGATGGATGAATGATGAATGATGACTGATGAATGATGAATGCATGGTATCGTGATATTGTGGTATTGTGGCACTGTGGTATTGTGGTATCATGGTATAGTGGTATCATTGTATCACGGTATTGTGGTATCATGGTATCGTGATATCATGGTATCGTGGTACCATAGTATCATGATATCGTGGTATCATGGTACCATGGAATCATGATAACATGGTATTGTGGTATCATGGTATCATGGTTTCATGGTATCATGGTATCGTGATACTGTGGTACTATGGTATCATGATAACATGGTATTGTGGTATCATGGTATCATGGTTTCATGATATCATGGTATCGTGGTATCATGATATTGTAAAAAAAATGTACTTTGGACCTTTTGAAGTGAGGTTCTGTGGAAAGGTTGTAACATCTTATTTGCTCAAACTAGCCCTTCAGTCCTGTCAGCCTTTAACATTGGCTTCAAACTAGGTTGCTCAAAAATATATTTACAATAGGTAATATATAAATTCTTCATAACTTCTCTACAAACACCACTTCAAAACATCTGAAATATTCTTCAAGATCAAGCATTATCACAACGGTTTATAATATTTAGCTGTTTGCAAAGCGATCCCATTTGCATTTTAAATCTACATTTTCTGAGCTCACCTGTCATCCTGTAAGGGCCTGACATACCCAGCAGCCAAGATGTTGAGTGACAGAATATTTGGGTCGATGATGTTCTCGTCAGCTTCGGGGGTGTTGCGCAGACGCCCTGGGAGAGAACAGGTGCCTCAGTGAGAACAGCTTTCACGGATCTTTAATGAAATGTTTATTTTCAGAGTTAACCTGCCCAAAAGAACAAACTTACCAACAACAAGCTCACGAATATCCTTCCATTCAATGTCACCTCCAGATTCGTGTACGATGGTAACAGCAATTCTCCTCTGGAGGCCCTGCAGTACAAAAGGAAAGAGATAAATATTTTTTTTTCAAAATGTTTTAAGAATCTCCACCTTCTGCTGCTTATCTGTAGTTGGGTTGTGGAGGCAACAGGCCTAAGAAACCCAGACATCTCTCTTCACAGTGACACTTTCCAGCTTATCCTGGGGGAACCTGAGGAGCTCCCAGGCCAGAGAGGACACATAATCTCTTTAGCAAGTCCTGGGTCTTCTTTGGGGCTTCCTACCAGAGGGACGTGCCCAGAACACCTCTAAAGGGAGACATTCAGGAGGCATCCTAATCAGATGAACCACCTCAATTGACTCATTTCATTGTGGAGGAGCAGCAGCTCTACTACATGATGGAGATCCTCACCCTATCACTAAGGCTGAGCCAGCCACCCTACAAAAAAAGCTCCTTTCGTCCTCTTGCATCCAGGATCTTGTTCTTTGGATCATGATCCACGCCTCATGACCACAGATGAGGGTTGGAACGTAGACAGACCAGTAAATCCAGAGCTTTTCCTATCAATTCAACTCTTTGTTCACCAGGACTGACTGAAGCAACATCCTCATTACTAAAGGATGAGACCCCAATCTGTTGATCCATCTCCCGCTTCATCCTACCATCACTCGTGAACAAGACACCCAGATACTAAAACTCCCCCACTTAGACTTAGAGGAACCAAGTCTCATCTCAGCTACTTCATATTCGGCTGCAAACCAGCCCAGAGCACGCTGAAGGTCTTGGCCCAATAATGCCAAAAGAACCACATCATCTGCATGCAGCAGAAATGAGACCCTGTGGTTCCCAAACCAGACACCCTCCTCTCCAAGGCTGCACCTTGAGATCCTGTCCACAAACATCTTTGTTTTCAGTATTTCAGTCTTATGTGCTCTGTGTGACAGACGTACCTGGTGCAGGAGGAAGGTGCCATGGCAGGGCATGCCTCCTCTGTGGTCCACAACAGCTGGGATGTAGCTAAAATAAAACAATCAGCACAAGCTTTGGTAACCTGGTCAATGATTTAAGGTACAAATCCCACAAATTATCAACACATGGTGAGACAACACTGGAAACTTACTCTCCAGTAGCTTCAAGCTCGCAGATCTCAAAGAATACCATGAGGTCATATTTACAGTGGCACGGTCCGGCCTGAGGGCGGGTCAGCGTCGTCAGCTTGGTAGCAGGCACTGAGTGGAAGAAGGTTTTAGAGGTTATACAGAAAAATTCAACAACAAAGGATGAAAGCAGGCAGGTGACTAACAGGCTGGAGGTGAGAATACTGATCTAGCTACCCTAAAAAGGAGAGGAAGGAAAAAGAAAGGACACCAGTGAAGGGAAGGAAGAGAGGACCCATTCATTTCTGTAGAAGGAAATGATTATTTTAATCACAATATGAGCATCTTTGATGTACTATTTTAAATCAAATTATCTCAAAAACATTCATAATCTCCGTGACACCAAACTAAACAGACTGATTTTAATCTTGATCAGACTGGTTTCTAAATGACTACAGAAACACCAAAGTTTAGACCAGAGGTGTCAAGTAATGAAGTAAGAAGTATTTGTTACTTTACTTAAGTAGAAATTTTGGTTATCGATACTTTTCTGGAGTAATTACTTTTCATTTCTACTCCTTATATTTTCACACAGTTGTCTGTATCACTTTCAGAGTATTTCATTATTATTTCATTTTGGCTTGTCATCATTCAAAAATACCCCTATCAAGATATATTGTGCCTCCTGAATATCGCATTATGACACTAAATCACGTCACATCTAGCATGTCATATGTATGTAGCTTAATGATCGTGGCAGAGAAATATACAGTTGTGGTCAAAAGTTTACATACACTTGTAAAAAAACATAATGTTATGGCTGTCTTGAGTTTTCAATAAGTTCTACAACTCTTATTTTTCTGTGATAGAGTGATCGGAACACATACATGTTTGTCACAAAAAACAGTCATAAAATTTGGTTCTTTCATAAATTTATTATGGGTCTGCTGAAAATGTCACCAAATCTGCTGGGTTACCTATGTTCCTTCTAATATACTCATCC